TATATACAGTGAGAACCAGAAAACTCTGGAATAGGAAGACTTAAAGTCTAAAGTCATGACTTTAAAAACTCCAGTAAACGTTAGACACAGGAATTAAGAAAAGATAATCACCTAATAAATGATTTTATAAGTTAGAAGCAGAACAATTTGTTACTTTAATGTTTTGAATTTATTTGAGAAAAAAAAAATCTAAAAAGATATCTTTAATCTACCTGTTCACTAAAAAGAAAAAAACTGTGTTTTTTTAAACGGTATCTTATAAAGAACTTTTTTTTCTTTCTAGGATGCATTTTTTCTGTGCAAGATGAGTTAAGGAGTAAAATGAAGAAAACTTATTTATAAACTGTAAATTTGTTGACCATAAACCTATCTCCTAACCCTACTCTCACGTTATGTCGTCTTTACCAGCCCAAACCCAAACCAAACAATTTCACTGTAGATTTTTTAAATAATCTTTGTTGATCATTATTATACTTAGTGTTGGCGGTTTGGGTTTCTCAAGATGGGAAACTTTCAGATCAATACTCGTTAATCCTCGTAGAGAGAAAAAATACCCAATTAGATCTATTTATATATTATACATGTTTTACGTCTTAATTAGAGTAAGGTCTTTAAAAATATTTAATAATGGTTTCAGTCAGTATCCACATGAGAGGGTAATGTCATAACTACAGTGGTAGGCATTTAAATCAATACAGTGAAGATGCCTTTTTTTAAGTTTTGAGTGTTGACAAGCTTTTTTCGAATTACAAGATAGAAATTCTTTATCAAAGAAAACGTGAATACTTTAATTAAATTTTTAATGTAAATGGAGAAAAAGTCTGTAGAAGGAAAAGGGGGGGGGGGGGTAAATTGAGTACTATGTTTTCAAAGTATATGTATTCATATTACATGTCCATTATAATGTTTAATGGGATTCCCTGTAAGCTGTAGAGATAAAGGTTTTTCCTTTTTATCTAATTTACGAGGCTGTGTTCTCTTATATTGGCTGTATACAATATTAGAATATTTATACATGGTAGCAGACCCAGTTTATAGGATAGTGTAGCAGACACAGTTTAGAGAATAGTGTAGCAGATCCAGTTTAGAGGATAGTATAGCAGACCCAGTTTAGAGGATAATATAGCAGACCCAGTTTATAGGATAGTAAAGCAGACCCAGTTTATAGGATAGTAAAGCAGACCCAGTTTAGAAGATAGTATAGCAGATCCGGTTTAGAGGATAGTATAGCAGACCCAGTTTAGGGGATAGTGTGGCAGATCTAAATTAGAGGAAAGTATAGCAGATCCGGTTTAGAGGATAATATAGCAGACCCAGTTTATAGGATAGTAAAGCAGACCCAGTTTAGAAGATAGTGTAGCAGACCCAAATTAGAGGAAAGTATAGCAGACCCAGTTTAGAGGATAATATAGCAGACCCAGTTTAGAGGATAGTTAGAAACCCAGTTAAGAGGACATAGACTGAGAGAATCACATTTTAATTCTTCAAAATGCTAAATTTTTTTCCCTTTAAAGTTCTAAAATTTTTTCTTCTATAAGATTTGAAATATTTCTACTCCACTGGCGGGCACTTGAGCTTGTAAAGAATATATGAGTATATATATTTTTACCTACAAAAAATATATATTTACATAAAATATGGTAAAATGAAGAACTTGGGCGAACACATGAATATACTAGGAATAAATATGAAAAGGTTCTGAATAAGAAATATATTAATCTGCCAGTACTCTCCTTCCATGTATATGTGTTTATAAATATATATATATGTACACTGCCCAGAGCAGCTTAAAACTTTCTTTATACATCCATACAAAGTATACACATGTATGTAAATTGTAAGCCATATCTAAAATCTTGATAAATAATATATAAGAACCTTTAAAGAATCGTTCAGGGCTATTTACGCCCCCTTTCCCATTCAAAATTTTACCTTTTAAATATTTCTCAAATTTTATTCAAGAATTTTACTTTGTGGATTTTCAAAATTTTGTGAAAATGAAAATCTTTTGGAGACAAATTTTTGTAATTCTGAGCATCTATAAACCTTCCCTAGGTTATGTGAGGTCCCGTTTTCACGTTTATTTTACACAAACAAACACCCAAACGGACAAGCAAAGTATATATATAAAATATATGTATATGGGTCAGGAATGCACAAACTTTTTAAACTCAAATTCAACCCAAATGGTAAAGCAGTATGAGTTTGAAGTGAACTTTAAAAAATCTAAGCGTTTTCATATTTTTTTTAGGTTTGCTTTCCATTTTAACCAGGACGATTTAATCAATCGTTATTCGTTTAAAATGTTGTTAAATGACATAAAACTTTGCACAACATTAAAAAAGCAATAAATTTTTATTTATGTTCAGCTATTAAGATTATTTTATAAGCCAAAAACCGTTAAAAAAGGAATACAACTAGATCCCAATATCAACCTATAGTATGCCCTTAATGCTGCAGTACAATGAAAGATAGTGTTATTAAAGGGAGTGACCGGCAATGTATGGTAGTTGAACTGAGATCGCAGTATTGAGGAGAATTTTTTTTAGGATTCATTTAAGACCCATCAGACGTTTTTACGGTGCATATTTGTTCAGCAAGAGCGCAAATGCAATCTTTAAAATCATCATAGGTTGTCCATTTTGGAGGGATGATTTTGAGAATCGGTTTTATTCAAATATTTTATAGGTCTCCAATGAATCTTAAAAAAAATCTCAATAATACTGCAATTTCAGTTAAACTACCTTACAATCCCGGTCACTCCCTTTTAAATGCAAATCGTCGGGGTAATAAAAAATATTTCAAAAATATTTCAGGGAATTCAGATTCATTTAAGACCCATCAGACGTTTTTACGGTGCATATTTGTTCAGCTAGAGCGCAAATGCAATCTTTAAATCCTCATAGGTTGTCCATTTTGGAGGGGTGATTTTGAGAATCGGTTTTATTCAAATATTTTATTCTGATAAGTCTCAAATGAATCTTAAAGAAATTCTCAGTATTACTGCAATTTCAGTTAAACTACCATACAATGCCGGTCACTCCCTTTTAAATGCAAATTTTCAAAACTTTTTCAGGGAATTCAGATAAAATATCAAGTGAACCTCAATTTAAAGACTGGAATGTCTGATGCACAACGGTACCCTTTAAAACCTTTCTGATCCAGGATGAATGAAATATTCTCATCTTTCTAACAGAAAATTAAATATTGATAATATTTCTAATTGAGGATTTACTTATAAGTGAGTTTCGAACACAGCTGCAGAGAAAAAGAAGGAAATTGGAAATAATTAAAATGATTTAGATAAAAGTTTTGAATCAAACATGAAAGGTCATTTGAAATTACATTTTCAGTCCCCGAAGAAAATATTTAAAATTTTTTTTTCTTCTGTAATTAGATCAATTTTGGCAAAAACCCAAGAAATATTGAAACTTAATCTCTGTACAACAATGCTTGAATTAATCAGGAACCGAAAAAAAAGTTTTAAAAAAGAAAAAAAACTACCTTGACAACCAATTTGGTTTCATCATCTAACTAAAAATAAAAAAGTAAAAAGAGAGAAATAACAAATAAATTGTTAAATAAAGATTAAAAGGGATTACTTAGGTTTTTAAAAATGTTGTATATAAAATAAAACAACAGCCTGCTGAGGGATAATTTGGTATAAATAATATTTCGCTAACATTTTTATTTTCAAAAATAAGGCTTGCAAAAATAAAGAAATCAGTCAGAATAGTGAAAATCGATTTTTTTTTTTTTCCTGTTATACCAAATACTTTTGCAAAAAAATAGAGGGTTTTTTAATTTATCATTTCACAAATATATTCTAATTAAACTTTCAAGCTGCATTTTTAGCTTATAGTTTGATAAAAATTGATTTCAGGGACATTGGACAATGGTACAATGGGATACGTCTTGAATAGGTTTACACGAATAAATATTTTTTTTTCAAAATTGCAATGGCTTACCAAAGCAGTGCTGAGCTTTGTAACTTGAATAAAGGAGTTTTTATCAGCAGCCAGCCATACCCCAACACACAGTACAGACGCACCAATAACCTAGTAGTATCATTATTATTAGAACTATCATTATTATTAGAACTATCATTATTATCATTATCATTATCATTATAATCATTATCATTATTAGAATTATCATTATTATCATTATTTTTAATATCATTATCATTATTAGAATTATCATTATTATCAATATTTTTAATATCATTATCATTATTATCATTATTATCATTATCATCATTGTCATTATTATCATTATAATTATTTGCTTTTTCATTATTAGCTTCATCATTATTAGCATTATCATTATTAACATTATAATTATTAGCTTTATCATTATTATTAATATCACTATCATTATTTCTATAAGCATTATTATTATGATAAGAGACCAGATTAATAAATAGAGATACTTGGTTGAACCGGCGCTCAAGAAGTGTGAGTGGTTCAGCTACTTCCCACAGCTTAATAAATTTGGTCCTATCATTATCATCTTAACCATTATAATCATAATCATCAAACGATTACATCGTTATATATTTTCATCATTATGTATTAGTATTACATAGTTAAGTATAAATAATAATATAAATATCAATGAAAACTGCAAAAAAAATAAATTAAAAACTTACAAAAAATATAAAGTTGAAGACACACAGAAGATATTTGGCTACAGTCGCCCCACAATCAGCCACCATGATTAAATGTGTTGAGTATCTTCTCTTTTATTCTTTCACCTTACACATTCATGATGCATAGAAATTTCTAGAGCTCAAAAGAAATATTTATAAAAATGCTGAATTTTCCATAGAATCAATTTGCCTTGGAAAAATTTGAAATATAAACATGTTACATTTATAAACATGTTAGTGCTTTGATACAGAGGACCCCAATTTTTTAAAGCGGAATCAGTGAATTGTGTACTGACTTTTCTCTTCTCAAAGGGACTGTTTACATAAATTTAAGTGTCACTTAATTGAAAAAGTTATGTACATAAAGGTTTTCCAGCGAAAAAGGAAAATCGTTTCGCGAAAATTTCGCATTATCGCAACCATTTCGCTTCATTATCGCATTTCATTCACTCGCGAAAAATGCGAAAATTTTTCGTTTTTTCGCTTCAATCTGTTTCGCGAAAATATGCGAAAATTTCGAAAAAGAATGCGAAAATATTGTGGACGGACAGACAGAAAATTAAAAAGATAACTAATGATTAAATTCTCCTCATCAAACATTTATTTAAGTAAAGGAAAAGAAATTATTTATATGACATAATAAAACTTCAGAGCAGATAATTCCACAAGTTTTTTTGAGCAATTAATTGTTGCAGCTATAAAACTCATGGCTTTCAGTAAATTTTCGCATTTCGCAAAAATATTTTCGTATTTCTCATTTTCGAGAAATTTTTCATTTCGCGAAATTTCGCTTCATTTATTTTTGCGAAATTTTACGAAAAAGTTTGCAAAAACGACAGAAAAATAACGCCTTTTTTCGCGAAAAGTTTCGTTCGCTGAAAACTATATGTGCATAACTCATAAAATATAACAGAATTTATCATAAAATATAAAATAAAACATTGTTACTCAGAGTCCTCAGAGAATGGGGTAAATAAAAACATAAAAATAGTTCAATAGAGGGCTTATTAAAATTATGTTAACAATCCTAATATTCTAACAAACTCTAAATATTAAGAAAAGCATTTATTTAGATTTGTTCGGAAAGAATCACTAAAAGATATTTCTTTTCCCTAAAAGTTAGAAACTACACTGATTTTGAAAATATTTTCTTTTCAACATTTCTATCTGAAAATTAGAATTATTTATAAAAACTGAAGAAAAAAAGTTTAATTTAGAATTGGATTAAAAATCGCTATATTAATATAATAATATTTAAGTTTTCCTTATTATAAAAGGAGAAAATTGCGGAGGGGAGGGTTCCCATAATTTCATGGGAAATGATTTCATTCCTACTCAGCGTTACCTCAACTTTGTTCACATCAATTTTGTCCTAAATAGTTTGGAGACAGTGTTTAGGATCCATTTAATTCGGATGCAGCTGGAAATAAGTTTTACCCAATTTTTTTAACCTAGCAGACTCGTCAAATTATTTTTCTTAATTTCCTTGCTTATTTTTAAGCTAGAACTTTTAGTGGTCAGGAAATTTTTATAATCTCTCTTTTATCAATAGTTCAGATTTGGGTTTTTTGTTGTTGCAGTTTTTGGTTGATATTTTGCCCCTTGGATCCGCATATATTTGCGGATCCGGATGCAGGATGCTAAAATCCTGCGAATCCAACGGATCCGGATCCTAAGCATTTTTTGGAGATATAAACAATCAAAACTTTAATTTTCCCAAAATTAAAAGCTAACACTTTTTATATACAGTGAGAACCAGAAAACTCTGGAATAGGAAGACTTAAAGTCTAAAGTCATGACTTTAAAAACTCCAGTAAACGTTAGACACAGGAATTAAGAAAAGATAATCACCTAATAAATGATTTTATAAGTTAGAAGCAGAACAATTTGTTACTTTAATGTTTTGAATTTATTTGAGAAAAAAAAAATGAAAAAAAAGTTTTTTTTCAGACACTTTTTTCCGAAATCATTTGATTGAACCAAAAAGTTATATGAATTAGCAATATAAACATTATATCAATGAACAAATTTTTTTAAATCAGAAATTTATTCGTTAGAAATATATACACCCCTGCTGAGAGGGTAGAAGACTCCCTGAATCTCAGTGAAAGAAGAATATCAATCTTCTCTTTAGAGGGAGAGTTAGTAAGCTTCAGATCATATTAGGAATATTAATGGAATTATATTCAGGAGGCTGGGGGGGGGGGGGGGGGGGGGGGGAGCGATGTTCCTTCAGGTGGTACGTTTTTGGGCAGTTTTTTGTTTAAATTTTCTTTCTTTTTTCTTACCATAGTGTTAGGAAGTTGTTTATTCCAAAGATTTATTTTTTGTGTACTATGAAAATGAAAAAGGTTGACCCTGAAAGAAGTTATACGCAAAAAATGATGCAAAAAACGATGCAAAAACGATGCAAAAACGAACGTATCGTAAAAATCGTTTTCGGATCGATTTTGCACTTTTATTATTTTAGGTTAAAGATATTGCAAAGTTTAATACAGGGGACATTAGTTCCAAAACTAACACTTGGCCCATTTCTAACGCCGAGTGTTAGAAATGGGCACAAATTGAAAGACTGGGTATTTTAGATCCCGGCCCATATTTACGTCGATTATAAAAACTATATACAACATTTTATTAAACATGACAAGGACAACAATTCCCACTTTTAAACTATTTTCTGAAATCGACATTATAAAAGGTGTTCCTTTAATATTAAAACCCTTGACCGGTTTCGAACATATCCTGAATTTGAATCATTATCGCGCTTTCGAGACAAAACCCACTTTCCCGTTTTTGAGTATAATCCGCAATTCAAAACAAAACTCATTTTCATAGATTACAAAATAAATCACTGAAAACAAAAATTATCTTATGAAAACTAAATTAACTGCTGAATTATGTTTAGAATCCAAGTTTAAACATTTTATTTGTTATATATGAGAATAAAGCTGATTTCATTTACAGCATTTTAAACTAAGACATTTCCCGCATTTCTATCTATATACATTGTAAAAACAAATGATGTTAATATTTTGAATTTTGATTTCTCAGTGCTTTAATGTTTTTAAATTATAGAAGAACAATACTTTTTTACTTTCTATTTTGTTTATATTTTACCTTATCAAAAATCTTGTTTTGTGACGTAAGTGTGTAAATACTTGAAACTTGACATTGATATGAATTCGAGTATTTGTCTCAAAACCAGGATATGTTTCAAAAACGGGACTCAAACTCGGCTTGGATTTAAAGATGTATACACTTGAAATAGATAACACTCAGTGTTAGAAATGGCAAAGTATAAGTTTTGGAACTAATTTCTCCTGTAATAACAGGAAACATAATACAGTTTCAAAATCTTTAAAGTTTTATTAAATTTTTTCTACAAATAAACAGGGAAACAAAGAGAAGCTGTCATTAAAAAAGCTTGGAGACCAGGCCCGCCAGTCGGGTGTTGCAAAGTTGAACCCTGAAAAGTGTGCTGCCAACAATGTTCGGATTTTCAAAGGGGCATGGTAGTACGGTAACGGGCTCAAGCCTGGGTTCAAAAAAATCCGCCAATTTTGTCTCCTTGAATAATGCATGTTATAGAGTTGTTAATAATCAAAACCTCAATAAAAAAGTTGTCTGAGCCTTGTATTAACATATCCGCTGTAATATTAATAGTTAATTCTAGATTAAAAAGTGTTTTATAGTAAATATAAATATCACTCTAGTATGCTGAGTCCATTAGCGCCTGATCCAATCAGGGTTCAGTCATGTGTTTGTTGTCTATTCTGAACCAATAAAAATTAAATAGCGGTAACATCTATCTTTCTATCTATCTTGTTATCCAATCACTTTCGGTTTTTAAGATTAATTTTAATTAGCCACCAAGAGATCATATTCCACCCCCCGGGTCTAACATAAACAAAGTTGAATAATGACTGCAGGAATATAAATTCAAGTTCAAGGCTGAACATGACTAAACATGACTATAAAACTAAACTTAGACACACAATAGTCATGATTTAAAATAATACAATCTCAAGGGTAGTGTGCAGCTTAAATACAATTTGGAAAGTTTTAGGCGTATACAGGATATTAATATTTTTACATATTTATTTTTTAATGTGTAATAGTGTTTGCAATTTTGATCACTTAAACTACACACCTGGACCACCAATGCTAATTCCTTAAAAAAATTTCGGGGGGCTCAGCCCACCTGCACCCCCTCCTCGCTCACAAGTTTCGCTAGGTGATCACCCCCACCAAACACAGTTTGACCCCCCCCCCTTTTCAAAGAGCTGGATCTGCCCCTGGATATATTGGTCACTAATTTAAAATATTTCATTTAAAAATTTTAAATCATATCATAATCACTTGGTTTATAAATTCAAATTTTTCTATCACTTAATTAATTTCATGGTAACATGAAAACATAATATCATCAAGAATTTAATTTCACTAGATTATAATTCTTTTAAATTGAAAAATGAACATATGTATAACATATAATATATATGTTTACAATAACTCAACGTGTTTGTTGTGAAATAGTGTACGGTTGCGCAGATGCGTATCCTAGACTACCAACTATTAGACTAAGACTAAGAGTAAAGTTCTACGCGTACGAACTGAACTGACTGATTCAAAGGGAAACAGTCCCCTCCCCCTCCCCATCTCCGTCGTTCCTCCCTCCCCAGATTTCTATTCAGTACGAGGACGTTGGCAGATTTGTACCGACACGCCTGGTAATGGCCGGTGTGTCCTCTTAGCTTTCGTCGTACTGGTTCGCCTAGGCTGAAAAGAGCCCTCTCAGAAAACCGGTTTCGCGGCCGGAAGAGAAATACCCCTCCTCCTCCCAACAGGAAGTTGTAGTAAGTTAAATGTAAACAATTGCTGTAGAAACTTTCGAATTGGCCAGTTAAGGCAGCAGCGTTTGGATTCATGTAAAAGCTGCCATATTATTAACTATATATAATCTCTTTTTGTTTGTCCGTCTTAATCAAAATAGCCTCCAAACCGATGAAACCTCATATTTGGCTTTTACATCCGCCAAAAAAACGTTTTTTCCCCGGAAAATCTCAACATGATCATAAAGTTTTGAATGGCACACAGACAATTTGTATTAAAAATAAGAAAGTCTACTTTTATTAAGATTAAGAATTCATATTTTATTTTACTAAATTTCACAAATTCCTAAACTTGTATAGAACTATTGCAGCTTCATGGATATAGAACAGATATGGACACATTTTATATCATTTCTCAGGTGCATCAATCATGTACAAATCTAACAAAACTACCACCAATTAACAAAACATTAAAGTTTTGTAAAATTCTTGAGCAATGAAAAGAATGAAATACAATAAAAACAATTTAAGTATTTCTCAAAAACTATGGTTTTGTGAATTGGTGCCAGCCTAGTACATAATAAACCTGTGAAATCGTTTAAAATTTGTTTTTCTTAGTCTTAAAAAATAAATTGAATGCATTTCTTTATTGAACTACATATAGGTCAATACATTGATTTTAAACTAAAAAAATACTAATTGTTAAAATTAATCATTCGTACATATCGTAATTTAAAAAACACGGGAAAACATTTACTGACATATTCAAAAACTTATTAATTTTTTTCAATTTGAATTAAACCAAAATTTTACAATTATAACACCAGAGCTGAAAACTTTAAAATGGTGAATATCGACATTAATGCTTGATCCAGCCTTTTTTCTTAATCTCCAGATTAAATAATGCTCGTTTACTTCTTGTTATTAATCTCTATGTTAATTAACCGATCATGATTACGGATATCTCATTCTATCCTGTTTACTTAATCTGAGTATTCAATGGACACACTTTTGATTTTCTTCCTAACCTCCTTACCCGTTAAGAAAAATCAAAAACTTTTTTTTTATTAGAGTTCCCTTCCGTTTCTGTAAATTTATCTTAAATAGCGCTCAAAATTTCAAATTTATCGGCTTCATATACGTGACTATGATTGGTTGAATTTTATACACTTTTCAGGATACAAGTAAAAGATTAGGTTAGTCTCGATATTAAGAAAAAGAGAGGATCAAGCATTAATCTCGATATGAACCATTCTAAAGTTTTCAGCTCGGAGGAAAAAAGTAAAAATGCAACAACTTTTCCCTTAACGTTTTGCCCCAATTTATTTCTACGTTAAACAATAATTTTCCCGAAAAGAAATAATAAAATTGCGACAATTTGACTCTCCAAGTGTCTAAACAGCTTTATTATGTACATCTAAAACGTTTTTAAATCTAATTTTCTAAATCTAAAATATTTATAAATCAAATTATTTTTATTTTTTTCCCTAGTTTCGACGTAGATCCACCACACAAAATTGTATATTTGACTCTAGGATAGGGGGGGTCCGAAAGTTAATTACAAAGAAAATAACATAGATTACAATGTAAAAGATCACTGAAAAAGATCTCCAGGGTTAGGAAGAGGAGCCAGTGTTGAACTTGTCGGCAACTAAAAAAAATAAATCAGCAAACATTTGTCCGACAAAGATGTGACAAGCTTGTCTATGTAAAATATAAATTATACAGTATCATAAAATATACAACGTACAACATACAACGTACAACGTACAACGTACAACGTACAACGTACAACGTACAACGTACAACGTACAACGTACAACGTACAACGTACAACGTGCAACATGCAACGTACAATGTGCATTATACAATATACAATATAATACAACGTACAACGTACAACGTACAACGTACAACGTACAACGTACAACGTACAACGTACAACGTACAACGTACAACGTACAACGTGCAACATGCAACGTACAATGTGCATTATACAATATACAATATACAACATACAACACACAACACACAACACACAACACACACAACATACAATATAAATTATACATCCATGTTTTGTTTAGGAAAATTGATAATTTTAATGTGCGGGTTAATCGTTATACTTCAAACTTTTAACTATTTGATCTAACAGAATTCAAAAGAAAGGATAAGATACGATAAGATAAAATAGTTTAAAATTTCAAAGGTCAACCACTTTAAGTTGCAAGCATCATAAATGGATTCGAAAATTTCAGAAAAAAAAAATTTTAATTTGAAAAATTAAAAATTTCTTGGTTTATAAAAAAAACGCTGTTTAAATCTAAAGCTGGCAAGTTAGAATAATTATTTACTGTGCGAGGTGCGAGATGTTCTGAATTCTAGGTTGATTGGGCCGGGAATCCTTACCACAGGTATATCAGGTAGAGCAGCAATATGATTTTTCAATTCATCTTTTAAATTGTTCGTTTTCTCCAGCTTCTCGTGGTACAGTTCTAGTCTCTCCTCAGCCTTATCAATTAATCATTAGTCATTATTTTCTATTTTGTAGTCATAGTCATTATTTATTAGTTATTAGTTATTATTTATTATTTATTAGTCATTAGTTATTATTCATTAGTCATTAGTCATTATTAGTTAATCATTATTAATTAGTCAGTAGTCATTATCTATTAATATTATTAGTTATTCATTAATCATTATTCATTATTCATCATTCATTATTCATTATTCATTATTCATCATTCATTATTCAATATTCATTATTCATTATTCATTATTCATTATTCATTATTCATTATTCATTATTCATTATTCATTATTCATTATTCATAATTCATTATTTTTAAGCCATTCGTCATTAGTCATTGGTTTTTAGTCATAAGTCGATAGTCTTTTTCATTAGTATTTTTCTTTTATTAGTCATTAGTCATTAGTCATTAGGACTTTGTCATTTGTCATTAGCCATTTGTCATTTAAAATAGTAATTATTAAAGAGACTGCGTGGAGACCTAATTTCAAATGGTCCCAGAATCCCAATAGACCCTTCAATTTCCTTCATTGTTAATGCAAATTACTTTTGAAGAGTAAACACAAAAGAAAATTATATTTTCAGCCTGATAAATATAGTTATCTCAATCCTGAAGCGTACTGTTGGAAATCGGACATGCAACAAAAATAGAGGGTCACTTAAAACACGTCCATAGTCTCTTTAATAACCATTAAGTAAAAAAATTAATTAGAATTATCCCTAACCTGAGCTAGTAGTTCCTTTTGAGCGGACAGGAACTCAGATACCATTGTTCCAACCTTTTTCCGTTCCTTTAGAGACAAACTTTATTTTATGCAAGATATTTTTGTTTTAATTAACATCAGTTAAAAATCAAACTTTTAAAATTAAACTGAAAGGGACTGTAATAAGCGATATATCAAGTGACCCTCCATGCAAGGATGGTATTACCCGACATACAACGGTACCATTGAAAGCTTTGTCTGATCAAGTATGAATTAGATATACATGTTTTCTGTTGCCTATGTTCATTTTCATTTGCGGGTTCTCTGCGAAAATGACTTGCGCATTTCTTGCTTGTAAGAAGCCCATGGGAAACTCACAGAAATCAACACTTTCCCGAGTCAGAAAAACGACGTTATCTTCCACATTCTTGATCAGATCAAGTTTTCAGTGGTACCGTTGTAAATCGGATAATACCATCTTTGCTTGGAGGGTCACTTGAAATTACGCTTACAGTAAAATCTAAGTATTAATAAAATATCTTTTTATATTTTTATTCATCATAAAACTGTGTTCCTTTAATTCATCTTGAAGACGACCATTGTAATTACTCAACAGTTCTGATGCTTCGTTCACCTTAACATTTTAAGTATTAGTGTTTAACAGAAAACAAAGGATTTGGAACTGATCCATTAAAATGTTGGGACCGAAATTAATGAATTTGAGCTGGGTCTAGAGACAATTCAACCACGTATTTTGAATCGGTGATTCAGGTTTTGTCCATGTCCTAGAGATAGTAACTTTCGGCGACGATAGGTAGTTCAACGATCTAGCTCAAATCCACTAAATTCGATAAATGAACCTTTAAATACATAAAACTACAAATTACGAATCTGTAGCGATAAAGCAAGAAGACTTTTATTCCATACTCCACAGTTTACAGAACTATATAATTTAGGGGTGTTCATTTTTAGGGTCACTTTTGGTACAGAGATGCAAGGTCGCCAGAAAGTTGCAAAATTTTGCAAGATTTTCAGAAATGATTTTTTTAAATTTTTAAAATTTTTTTTCCCAACCCAATTGATTCAAATTTCACCTTTTTTCGTTTTTTTTCCCCGCAAAAATTGTAATAATTTTATAGAGATAAACATGTCTAGAATACACACACAAAAAATTAAAACCCTATCTTGACTGGAAAGGTGTGCGCCAAATGTGTTCTTGAACTTGAACTTTCTGGCGACCTTGCATCTCTGTACCAAAAGTGAGCCTAAAAATGAACACCCCTACTATATATCTTATTTAACCAGCGAAATACTACTAGCAACTCCCTGAGGGGGGGGGGGATCTCATACCCTCCATTAAAGGGAGTGACCAGCAATGTATGGTAGTTGAACTAAGAATGTAGTATTTGAGACCTATGAGATGTTTTTACGGTGCATTTTTGTTCAGCAAGAGCGCAAATTCAAACTTTAAAATCCTCATAGATTGTTCATTTCTAAAGGATGATTATGAGAATCGTTTTTAAAAGTTACTCAATAATGACGAAGAAAAATTAAGTAAAAATTTACAGTAAACTAATTAGGTCTTTGGGAACAGGTTGAGAAAATAAAAATTAACTAAATATCATCGAAAATAAATAATCTTATTCAGTTATTGGTTTCTGTAATGTCTTATTGTTCACAAACGTTTTCTGTAGATTTGATTGATTTTTTGAGAAAACTTGAATTGATAAATGTTCCTTAACATCTAATTTGTTTACTGTTTAATTATTTTACATTTTTTGCGGTTTTTTGAAAGTTTAAAAAAATCGATTCTCAAAACATAACATCCCAAATGAATGATTTTGATCGTTGACTTTGTGCTCAAACTCAGTAATTATAAACCATTAAAACCATTTATTTGTCTCAAATGATCATTAAAACCTTTTATTTGTCTCAAATGATCATAAAAACCTTTTATTTGTCTCAACTGAATCCTAAAAAATTTCTCCACAACTACCATAAATTGCACATCACTCCCCTTAACATAAAAAACCAACTAGAATAGGGTTAATGATATAATAGACGATAAGTATGGAATGAAAAAAGTTTTCCGTTGCAGGGAACAACAAAAATACAAAACAGACTTCAAAAACTTTGTTCAGTCGTTTATAAGAACTCATTTCTGTAAGGGGTTTTCACCTGTTGGAGTAAGATTAATCCTTCTTCTGAAGATTTCAGATTTTCCAGTTTAGAAACCTCGGATACCTCGGGGGGGAGCTTAGCTATCTTTTCTCTGTAATACGTGATATGAATTGTTTGTAACTAAGTTTAAGTTGAACAATCAAATAATTTTCAACAAAAATAAAAATAAAATTCTGAAATTTTGCAAAACGCACGGTTAAAATATTGCCCATCAGATAATCAGATTAGGGGTGAAAGAGTGGGAGTACTCTAGACATGGCAGATTTGTTAGGTTTGAAGACCTGACCCTTTTATCCGAGAAGAACCCTGAGAAAAGTAAAACCACTGACCTTACTTCAGCATCACTTGAAGCAGCATTTTCCAGTTCCTGGAGAGCAGTTATCAACTCCTCTGGTTCAGGAGGATCCCCAGATCCTTCAATATAATCAGGGTTAATATTCTCTAGATCCTTCAAGATACAAATATAATCAGGGGTAAATATTCTCGAGATAATTTAAGATACAAATGTAATCAGGGGTAAATATTCTCTCGATCATTCAAGATACAAATATAATCGGGGGTATATATTCTCTAGATCATTCAAGATACAAATATAATCAGGGGTAAATATTCTCTAGATCCTTCAAGATACAAATATAATCAGGGGTAAATATTTTCCAGATCCTTCAAGATACAAATATAATCAGGGGTAAATATTTTCCAGATCCTTCAAGATACAAATATAATCAGGGGTAAATATTCTCCAGATCCTTCAAGATACAAAAATAATCAGGGGTAAATATTTTCCAGATCCTTTAAGATACAAATATAATCAGGGTAAATATTCTCCAGATTCTTCAAGATACAAATATAATCAGGGGTAAATATTTTCCAGATCCTTTAAGATACAAGTATAATCAGGGGTAAATATTCTCCAGATCCTTCAAGATACAAATATAATCAGGGGTAAATATTCTCCAGATCCTTTAAGATACAAATACAATCAGGAGTGAATAATCTATTGATTCTTTACTACTTTTCAGTGGAATTTTCAAAACTTCAAAAAGTATAAAGTATAAAAGGCCTGCTTTAGTGATCTATGATTAATAAATATGCTTGCGCTGACCCATTTTCTTTAAAATCAATAGAAAATTCAGAATGTTTTTTTTTTAAAGGTTAAATTAACAGTTTTTGCTGCGTATTGGTAATAATGAAACGCATATTCATATTGTCCCAAGGTTTCTTAAATTACATGGTGACAAACTTCAAGTGCCTCTTTACTTCTGGTTCAACCTGAGAAGTAGCTGAACCGTAGTCGGTAGTTCAGCAACCTCTCTCCAAATCGACAAATTCGGTCCAAGATCAGATAATTGATAAATGAGAAACAAATAAAAACCTGGTGAACCCATTCTAGGACTGAGAGTTATAGTTTCTTCATGAGCTGGTTTAACTAATTTCCTTAGAGGCGACTCAAGCATCTCGTCAATATCTTCAACTTCTGTCGACTTTCGTCGCTCTTCAGAAGACTGTCGTACAGAACCGGAAGACTTTCTTTGTTTTGTTTTTGAAGTTTTGTGATTCCACAACTGTGTCACTTCCTATTAAAAGCATTGTCATATTATTGGGCATGACTACGAAAAAAAAACATTAAACTTTGGTAGAATATCAAATTTATTTAATAGAATCCAATACAAATTTATAGAATTACATAAACGTTGATAGAATATCATAAACCTTTGATAGATTATCGTAAACCTTTGATGGAATAACATAAACCGAAAGAATATTGTAAACCTTTGATGGAATATTATAAAACTTTGACAGAATATCATACAACTTTAGTAGAATATCACAAATCTTTGATAGAATCTCATGAACATGTATAAAGTTATATATAACTTTGATATAAATTCATAAATAACCCTTTCATAAAACATCATAGAACTTCGACAGAATATCATAAATCTTTGACAGAATATCGTAAAACTTTGATAGAATATCATAAAAATTTGGCAGAGTATAACAAATCTTTGTTAGAATCTCACATAAATGTATAGAATTTAATATAGCTTTGATAGAAATTTATTTGATAGCTTAGTTGTTATTGATGAAGTTTTGAATGAATTTTTATTTTGATATGCTAAGAATCCAGGTCATGAACATTTCTTAAAGATTATTTGTTATTTACAATATAAGTAAATAGACTTGGATTTACTAATTTTGAAAATTTTTTAATTTTTGATTTTTTTTCGCAGATTTTTTTGTCGAAACTTAATAAACCTCTAGAGATTGGGAAGTTTTTTTGACAGTTTTTAATATTTTAATCCTTGTATCTTGTTATTTGGATCCGCACAGTTTTGCAGGAAGTTAAAATGTTATTCTAAGAACATGGCGCAGAGAAAACATTAACAATTAATATTTTATGCAACCATATCAGAACAACATTTATTTCAGCAAGGTTTAAATAAATAAATAGATAAATAAATAAAAATCTTTATTAATTTATAAAAAAAACCTTGATAAATATTTTACCTGTAAAAGCTTTTTTTCAAATATTTGTCTCTCATTCCATATGCTTAACAACCTAGAATAGTTAAAACAGGTTGACATCTAGCTAGAAAGGGGCATATATGGGAATTTGAATAAAGTGTCTGAAAAAAATTAAAATAAAAAAGTATATAGATAAATTTTTTCACCTCCCGTAAGATCCAACTGATTTCTCGTCCAAATCTATTGAAGCAAGGTGATGATACACCTTGAGTAGTATACTACCAAACTCCTGATCATTTCATTCATTAAAAAAATATCCTTTTGGAAATGAACAGAAACAGTCCAGAGTGGAAAACGTTAGAATTTTGGATATCAAGATCATCTTACGATTATTTAATCTTTAGTTTGTATCAAGGAAAAAGTATAAAATTCAACCAATCAGAGTGGCGTATGTAGAATCCCGAACGTCAAATCAGAAGCCGAGAAAAATTAAATTTTTGCACAATATTTAATGAGAAAACTCTCAGTGCTCGGAATCCGTTAGGGAAATCCAAAAAGATTTGGAATCATCATTCAGAACAAGCAGGGAAGTTTTAAGAAAATGAAAAATTCCTTGGAGTATTCTGGACCCTTCCGCCGACTGTTCTGTACAACATCATTTGCTAGGTACATGTAGGTCAACTTCCTAGTCAGCAAATAAATCAATGTATCAATCGATAAATTAATTAATCAATCCCTTTCAGAGAATTTTATGCGCAACAGCATTTGCAAGATGCATAAATGGTTCAACTTCATAATCAATCAATCAAACATCAAACAACTGATTCATAAATCAATCGAACATACAATAAATCAAAAAACACTTAAATTTTATCTGCCTTACCCACCACACACTAATGAATCTAACAATCAATAAATCATTCAAATTAATATTTTAATAGAAAAGCCATGCAATTCATACACCATTTATCAATTTTTCACCACTTAAACTTTAATTTTTACCAAATCAGAATCAAAATAACCAATTACCATTGCTAAATCAAACACAATTTGATAACTGGTTCTTAGCAAACAATAAATCTATCATCGGATGCCGCAATCAAAAACAAATAATTCAATCATTTAATAAATTAAACAATTAAGCACTTCAATTAAGTCTTCAAAAGTCACTCAATTAACTTAACGAAAATAAATAATTGTTACAAATAGTTCACCTTGCTTTTTGTCCTTGCTTGAAGTTCTTATACCAGACTTTTATAACATCCCGACTGTTGGCCCTTCAATATTTAACAATCAAATTAAAACAAAACTGGTTCAACACATATATTTAATTTTCAAGAGTGCAGAGCTTTCATGCAATTCTGTTTATTTGTCCATGGGATTTAATTCATAACACTTACTTGAGACTAATTGAGTCTAGCTGATCTTGATAAAAATTATGAAAAAAAGGAGGTTGCGGTCTAACTTAAAGATTGAAAAATGTGCATCCACCCCAGAAATAAGGTTAAAACCTGTGATGAACAATCCATGCTGAAACATTTTGGATTTCTTTCTGAGAATCCCTTAGTTCATTCAACCGTTTACTCAGCTCACCCTCAGAGAAGGGACCCATTCTTTCTGAAAGTATAAATAATTTTCATTCAAATATGCAGATATTTTACAACGTCATTTTTTATTACAAGTATATGGGTCCTGTTTGTTCTGACGTCATTTCAGGGAAAATTAGTTCCAAAGCTAACACTTAGCTTATTTATAACACTGAGTGTTAGAAATGGGCCAAATCTGTAAAGTTATCTTTTTCAAGCGTATATATCTTTAAATCCCAGCCGAGTTAAACAAAACTTTACCATACATTTATTAAAAATGAAATATTCACTTTAAACTAATAATAAGGTGTGAGAATTAGTTTTTGATGATATTTGTTTTCATTTTCGAACATATCCCTCTTTTGAAACAATTACCGCATTTCAGCTCCTTTTATAATTTCGATTTCAGAAAATAGTTTTAAATCGGGAATTGTTGTTGTCCTGGTCATGCTTAATAAAATGTTGTTTATAGTTTTTATTATCGACTTTTACTCTCGATAAGGGCCGGGATCCTAAAAACCCAGTCTATTCATTTGTGTCTATTTCTAACACTCAGTGTTAGAAATGGGCCAAGAGTTAGTTTTGGAACTAATGTCCCCTGCATTTGCATTCCTCCAAGCAAATGTAGTCTGCAGACACTTATCACAATTCCACAACTGTCTGACAAAGACATTAGTCTCTGAGCTCCGAGAAAAGAAGACTAATATTAGTTCCCCCGAACCCGAAAGAGTTCTTTAAAACCATTTTCCTAGGAACCTCCTCAGGTAAAGATTGTTGTTCTGGTGGACTGAAGTTTAGCTCCTCAACAATATTTAGATCTCCAGTTATATCAACATCCTAGAAATATTGACACTAAAATGTAGCTAAAACATCATATTCAATGAAGTCTATGTCGTCACAAATTCTACTCGATAATATTAGAGGGGCGTAGTCAGGNCATAGATTTCACTGGCCCCTTATAGCCCCTACCCCTGTTTACGCCTCTGGATAATAAGTATTTCATGATTCCAGTTCTAGCTTAAATCAATGCTATAATACCCATCACTTCAACCAAATATTTGTAAATGAATTATCTTTACTCGATCTAAAAAGTTATTCATAAAAAAATACTGACACATCTCATAGGTAAGATATTAATTTGATTAAAATCAATCTTAAATAAACGTATCTTCAACAAAACCAGTGCTTAGGATCCATTTCATTATGATGTGGATCCTGGATCCGCCCTGGAAAAAAAGGGATCCAGGTTATAAATATTTCTTCAAAATTTATTGATTGATTCTGAGATACAGAACTTTTTGATAATCGTTTTTTATTCATCAGTTTGTATTTGGGGTTTAAAAGTAAGAAGTTTTAATTTAAGTTATCGGTTGATACTTTGCCCCTTAGATCCAAATCCATAGATACACAAATTTTTCCAAACCATGAAGCCAGAATGTTAGGGATCCAACAGATCCAGATCCTAAGCACTGTTAACAACATTGACAATCTTTCAAATCTGACCTTGTTTTTAATATTTATTGTTGGTGGTATTTTGTTGTGAAGAATTGAAAGAGCAGCAAAAACACTCTCAACTCCTCCAGCTGCTCCCAGTAGGTGACCAATACAGCTCTTGTTTCCAGTTATATAGGGAGAGTTCTTAGCACCCTGGCCACAAACCCCCGAGTTTGGTATTTAAACGTCATGATATCAATTAAAAAATTATTATAATAATAGTGTTTTCTATTAAGTTGAACTAATTATTTTTCTAAATTATGTCAACCTTATGTTTCCTCTGATTTTGAATGGCAAATAAGTGTTTTTATATATATTAACTATATTGGCATCCATGAATTTTTAACGAATGTCAAGAAATGAGACGTATTAAAAAACTTAGTGCTTGTGCCTTAATAAGAGATTTAATTGCCGTGAGCTCTGCCATGTCTCCTCTAGGGGTTGAGGTAGCATGTGCATTTATCTGCCAAATATAATTCAAACAATCCTCAGGCAAATCCTGTAACAATTATTTACTATTAATTTATTATATTCTCATAGCTAGATTAACTAAGGGTGGAACTAGTCAGCACTTTTTTTTGATATGAAGACTCAATCTTGCACGAGTTCTTACTTAGATCAACTCGTTAATCAGTCAACCATCATTACTTTACTATTTGCAAATTTGACCTTAAATGCAGATCTCATAGCTCTCAGAGCTCCTTTTCCATCTTCCCTAGCAGCTGTTATATGATCGGCATCTCCACTCATTCCATAGCCAAGGAGTTCGCAGTAAATGGTGGCATTGCGCTTTCTATAAACATTTACTTTTGAAACAAAGTGGCATTGTGCGTCTTAAAAACATTAGAATTTAAATTGAGGTTTATTCATATTCTCCAAACAAAATAGATGGTGGCAATGCACTTCCCACATATATTTAGTGTAAGATGGATGGCAGGATTAGGNTCTTAAAAACATTAGAATTTAAATTGTGGTTTATTCATATTCTCCAAACAAAATAGATGGTGGCAATGCACTTCCCACATATATTTAGTGTAAGATGGATGGCAGGATTAGGATTTTTTACTGAAATACTGGTGTTGGCAATGCACTTCCCACATATATTTAGTGTAAGATGGATGGCAGGATTAGGATTTTTTGCTAAAATACTGGTGTTGGCAATGCACTTCCCACATATATTTTGTGTAAGATGGATGGCTGGATTAGGATTTTTTACTGAAATAATGGTGTTGGCAATGCACTTCCCACATATATTTAGTGTAAGATGGATGGCAGGATTAGGATTTTTTACTGAAATACTGGTGTTGGTATTTCACTTCCCACATATATTTAGTGTAAGATGGATAGCAGGATTAGGTATCCTACTAAAATACTGGTGTTGGCATTGCACTACCATCAGAAACATTTAAAATTTAAAATGGGTGTTGACATTACGCTAACAATTAATAATTGGTTTAAAATAGATGGTCAGAGACAATAGAAAAAATATACTTCAAACATAATGTTTTACATTTCTATAAGAATTGCATTACTTCAATAACAATATGATTGATTGCATATCAGTTTGCAGGATCTTTGAGAATTATCAAAAATAATCTTTTCAATGCTTACCTAGCATGTTCCAGAGACTCCAGAACCAATAAACCAGCTCCTTCTCCCATCACAAAACCATCTCTATCCTTATCAAATGGTCTTGACGCAGATTCAGGAGTTTTATTGAATTTAGTTGAAAGAGCTCTGGCTCTGGAGAATCCTCTGAAGGCTAGTGGATTAATGCAAGCATCAACACCACCTGCTAGCATTACATCACAGTCTCCTCTTTCAATCAACCTAGATACATCATTCAACATAAGAAATTAGACTTTCCATATATTCTTAAAACCAAGAAGCTGGGAAATTCCAATACTTTCTAATATCACAAAACCAACACAATTTTGATGTTGACCCTGGTTCTGGATCTTAGATTCCTGATCCGTATGAATATATTTTCTTTCGAGTTTTGATAATTTCTTTTATCAAAAACTAATTTTCTAAACTTACTTTTTCTGTTTCTGATGATTTATTAAGTAAAGTAGATTTTTGATTTTCCATTCAACGATAATGAGTATTTGAATAATATCTTAACGGTTGACACTGAAAATGTGTGGAGTTACAATGTTGTGGATACATAGGATCCAAGTCCTGAACACTAATGAATAGCAATTTATAATAAAGAAAAACACCTTAATGCATCTGCAATAGCGTGGGATCCTGTTGCACAAGCTGTTGAGCAGCTAAGGTTGGGACCCATCAGTCCATGTGCTATGCTGGATAATAATAAGATTAGTTCATTATCATGGCTCTTGAGGAGTATAAAAGAACATATTATCTAAAATTTTTCAGAATATCTAGGCTATGAAGACTGAATAAAGAGTGATGTCCCCCTCTTATAATTTTCTCTTAATAGAAAATACAATTTGGTTTTGGATTTTTCAGGAGATCCATTAGCTTAAAAAATATGAGAACAACATAACAACTGGACACTATCTAAGACTGGAGTGGGACAGGTTAACCTGTCTAAGTGTATTCCAAGTACCTGATATGACCAGCTGAAAGATTAGGTAGGATTCGTGGAACAAAATATGGACTAATTCTTCTACCCTGTCCAGACTCAAGTTCTGCATAACACTGTCCAATGTAATCTAAAACAAATGGAGTTTGTCACAGATGTTAAACTTTTAAAAGGACACTTCCCGGTCCCCACCCTCCAAAATACAAAATAAAGCTTGTTACCTAGATCAACCATTCCCATTCCGACAGAAACGCCCGTCCTGGATCTTTCACTAGAATAAATTTGTTGTGTTATTTGCTATTAAAAACCAAAGAAAAAAACAGTTGAAAACTAGGTTAAAATATCTTATTAAGAGTGTACCAATAAAGATGGACTTTGTTTTTCAAAGAAGGATGTTAAAAGATTAGAAAAGGAAGAATGCCTTCTACTGTACACCAATAAATTTTTACTTACAGTTCTGTTAAGGGGGTCCATCTAGCATCTTCTAATGCTTCTTTAGCTGCCACCATTCCAAACAGCATACTTGTACTCATTCTATCCATAGGAGCATATAATACTATTAGAAACATTGTACAAGCTTGTAATAAAAACTTTATGATTAAATTTTAATTGAATCTCAATTTACAGAGGAGCAAGCCCAATTTACCAGGATTACGCCACAGTCATGTTCTATTCTGGACTATGTTCTTGCTACAGTGGGTGGGTGACCATTAATGGACTAAAACTTAACAGGGCGGCAGGGGTTGATAAGGTGTCTACAGATATGCTAAAGAATGCAAGACTTAGTATGGTCTGCCTGATAATTAAAATGTTCAATGAAACCTTGATGACTGTGTAAAGGTAATGGATTTGGCAATTTTTTTTTGTTTTGATTTTCTTTGTTTTTATTTTTGCGCCTCCCCCATTTTTACAACATTTCTAGATACTTTCTCTATACTGCCTGGTACGACAGGAACAGCCAGGCTCTGGAAAGTGTGGCCGGCCTTTTAACTTGACTCTCGCTCCTCTTACCTTGCCCTTAACACTTTGTATCTCTGAAACATGTGCCAGTGACGCCCTGCCAACCATTTATGGTTGTGTGGTTAGAAAAGAGCTTAACCCTGACTCCTTCGGGATGATGGTTTACATTTTAATTTATTTATTTATTCGAAACATTGTACATAGTACAAATAAATAAATAACCATTAACGAGGCTTGTAATAAAAAATTAATTTCAATTGAACCTTAATTTAAAGAGGAGCAAGCCGAAATTTAGAACGTTATCCTTAAAAGCTTTGCCTCATCAGAAATGAATATGAAATTTAATTATTTTAATTGGGGTATCTCTTATATATGTGACTTAAAAATTTCACCTTACAGAAACAATTAGGTGTTATTTTTAGAAATAAGAACTTTTTAGCCTGAATAACTGATGATATCCTCTACATTATTTATCAAGTAAAGATTCAAAGGGTACCTTTGTAAATCAGACATGTCCTTCTTTTAAAAGGAGCTTGACATAAATTTCAATTTGAGTCCAAACCACATATCAAAAAGAACATTTACAGAAGGAGAAATGTAAAAAAAATTTAAGATTATATCCTTCCTTTCCTGGTCACTTTTAGAGAAATTCTTGTTTAAATCCAGACCTCCCTCCTTACCATAAAGTATTAGAAATTTTTGAAGGACTGAATTAAGAATAATAATAATACATACATCAGATTATTTTCTGAAAAAAACTAGGGTTTATTTAAACTTTATAAGGTTTAAAGTCATAATCCGTTAAAGCATATTTGTAAATTGTCACCCTGTCATTTTTGCCCTGAATTTGTAAATTGTCACCCTGACATTTTTGCCCTGAATTTGTAAATTGTCACCCTGACATTTTTGCCCTGAATTTGTAAATTGACACCCTGACATTTTTGTCCTAAAAAATTTCTCTCAGAAAGTTTGACTATATAACATGTTTTTATGCCATTTACCAAAATCGTGACATTTGTAAAGACAAAAATAAACCCCATTTGGCTTCCAGAAACATCTTTGAAAGATTGGATTAATTGTGATAAAAATTACAAAAATTGGTGTTAAATGACATGTTCTGTACAGTGAACAATCCCTTTAGAATAATTAGATTTTACTAATGGCCTAATGGCCTTACAGAGTTCTCCCCAGGAGTAAAGACCTAAAATGGTGTGAGGTACTTTCACAAAGGCATTTTCTCTCTCACAATACAATTTCCGAAGTGACAATTTCCCAAATAAAAACTTCCCAAATGCACTTATAAGGTTAGGTTAGGCCTTTAAAGGGACCGCTGACAGCAATGTAGCCAATTGCTGTGATTAGTATGGACTAGGGGCCCAGCACAGCAGCTAGAACAGGCTAGGGGGCCGAGCGCTACAAATTGGAAAGTTGCCATTTGGGAAATTGCACATTTGGGAAGTTGCCTCTTGTAAAATTGTCATTTGGGAAAATGCCTTTGGGAAAGTACCTCACACCAATTCAGGTCCTTATTAGTCTCTTTAAAAATACCCTTGGAGAAGTGCTTCTTGGGAAGATACATCTTGGAAAAGTACCGAACTTCCCAGAAACCCTTTAAAATTCTTCTGTATTAAACGTAAACGAACCTGTTCTCCAAGCGGTACATAACAAGCAACTTTACTGGGTATACTGGAGAACCTTGGATCCGTTATACTAGAACCACAACTTTGCCCTGATAAACAAAAAAATATTTGTCATTTTCCTTTCTATCAAAGAAAATCTTGAATTTTCAAAAAATCTAAATTTCTTTAGAATCTAAATTTGCTCAACCAGACTGGTTGTGGTTATAGATTAGTAAAATAGCAGTGAAGTATTGAAATAATTATTTGATATGATACCTTTGAGTATATTTTTCCAGGAATGATTTACTCCAACCCCAAGTGGTGAAACTAATCCTAAAAATAGAATGAAGTTCCACTTTTTTAATCAAACATATTACAGGGTTACCCCAAAGGATGAGACTTCAGAGACGATCTGTTTCCTTATATTTATGATTCCCAGCCTTTAACTACAAATTTCTTTCTTCCTTAGCTAAATTAATAGAAACACATTTAAAGAACACATTCATTACAGAGAATTTAATTTGAACTTTAGATCGTCATATTTGAAGACTTCCAAGTCGTCTTTACAGTTCTTTCTTTTGTGGGTAACCCTGCATAAAAACAACAAAGGCGATAAGGATATTTTATAAAAAACAATGATTAAGACTACAAACAAAGTTTGGCCGGCTATAGCTGACATATAAATATATATAACTCAAAAAGTGTTGGTCTAAGGCTTTTGAAATTTTCTGACTTTTCTTACATGCCCAAAGCCCTCCCTTTAGGCCTAAAACCAGGCTTGAATACTAACTGCCTAGCTGACATATAAATATATATATATATATATATATATACAATATACATGGATACAAATGTATGTATATATGAGCGAAGAGCTTTATTATATAGACTAGCTGAAGTGCCCTGCGTTGCCCACAAAATTTGTTTAAAAATCGAAATTTGAAATTTCAATTTTTTTTATCCTATGTTACCCCTAAGTATTAGAAGATAATCCACCTAGCCCCGTAACAACCACCCTATCTCTGTAATACGATTGTCTAGCTAGGCCTCTGTGCTGTATTACAGGTTTGAATATCCCATGTAGGATACAACTACAGGATATATGCCTGGATAACCCTTGTAGGATACAGCTAGAGGATATATGCCTGGATATCATTTTATCTGGAACAGAAAAGAACAGATAGAAAATAGTGAATTTTGAATTATTATTTCTGTTTCAATTTTTAAACAAAAAAAATAAGAAACATTTTAGGACTTTTTATGCTTAAGAGACACATCAATCATCATTGGTTCTACAATCTACAAGCCAAGGAATCAGTAACACCCTTATATTTGTTTTCAAAAAGGTTTACTGTAGTTTCAGTGAGAAATTTATACAGGTGTTCAGGTCGTAGCTTGTTTACATTTCTCCCAGAAACTGCAGTACACTTTTTATAAACAAAGTTATTTTGTTTCCTGAAAAATTTTTGAATGAAAATAGAATATGTTTCCATCTTGATTTTAAAATAATTGAAAGAGTAAAATTTTGTTCAGATCGAACTTGAAAAGTATAAAAATGAACAACAACAAAAATAGAAGGTATTACAGTCAAACATTATCACAATATTAGTTGTACAGAACTTGACAATTTTTGAAAACTGAAGTTAGAATTGAACCAAATTGTTTTCTTCATTTTTTCTGCGCCCCGGGATCTGTGTCGGATTCCATCTTGAGATAAAGTTTTGCAATATCACCAAAGTTTTTCCGTCCCAAGAACTCTCTATGCATTAGTGATGCTTCCTGGAACATAAAAGAGTTTTTAAATGTTAAACAAAAAAAAAACAAAGTCAAAAGTTAACTTTTAATTTGGAAAGACTCAAATATAACTGATTACTCGCCTTAAACTCTAGTTTAGGTTAGATGTTCGCATGTTTTCATCATTTTTGTGAATATTATTCATAATTTTTGAACTAATTTGACCAGATATTTTGGTCAAATTTTTCTTTGATAGGTTTATAAGAAGAATAATTTCGGTTAGATCAAGTTTGAAATAATAAAGGGTTCACCACCAGAGAAACTGCAAATGAAAATAAGTAGTTTAAAGGAACAAAAATGAATATAATGAATTACCTTTTCCTTCCTAGTTCTCCAGATCTGTAGGAGAGAGAGACCACTAGGGTTGAGTAGTTTCACCTTCTTAGATCCAGGAGAAGGAGAATGAGGACTGTTTGATCTTTTCAAACCTTAAAGGGAATATAAGCGTAATGTCAAATGACCTTCCATGCAAAGATGACAATTCCCGATCCACAACGGTACCCTTGAAACTTTTATCTCATCAATACTGTGGAAAATTTTGTCGTTTTTCGTGTTTAATTCAAAAAATTTCCATGTTTTCCTGCAGTAGAAATGCGCTTGTCACTTTTGTAGAGAACCCACATTGAAAAATCAGTTTTAAAAATCATTAACAGTGATATTTAATTTAAACTTGATCAGACAAAGCTTTAAAAAGTACCCTTGTGAATCGGTCACTGCTATCTTTGCATGGAGTGTCACTTAAAATTGCGAAAAGTGTTTTACATCACTTTGAATTAGTGCAAGGGTGGGCCCACGGAGAACATGTATGTATTCTGTAATACACAATGAACTCGGTTTTGGTGAGTAAAAACTTATTCAGCGGTCACATCTGTCTCCATTCAATTTAATTAGGCTTATGTCTAAAAAATACGTAACTGTATCTTGTAAAATTGGGAGGAAAAATATTCTTGAAAACATAAACCTGAATCTTAACAAAAACCTTACATTTGTCTTAAACCCTTTTGATCAGAATTCACGTTTGTCAAGCCTACTCAATTGGAAGATAATAAAATATGAAAAATAATCACCAGTCTTACAAGTCATGATATAAATATACAAAAAAGCCAAAAAATTCAAACATTTCTTTTTTTCAACACTATACAAAATACAGTTAAAAATACTTCTTTTAGTTTATTTCCTTTCCTGAGCTGAAAACTTCAGAATTGTGGATATTGAGATCAATGCTTAATCTCCTCTTTTTATTAATCTCAAGATTAATTAAATCTTTAGTTTATATCCAAAAAAGTTTATAAAAAACATATGCATAATCTCGAACACCCAATCAGAAGCTGGGAAATTTGAAATTTCGCCTGCTGTTCATTGAGAGAACTCTGATTGGTTGGAATATCTAAAAGCAGAGAAAAAGAGCAGATTAAGCAGGAAGTTAAAAGTGTCCACATTGGATATTCAGATTAAGCAATCGGGATTAAGGGTATCCAATTCAAAAGTTCCCAGCTCTGAGCCCTCGATTTAAAGAATTCGGGAAAATAAGACTCAGGTCTAATCTCTCAAATAGACTAATTTCAGACTTATGGTCGGTTTTAATTTCATCGGGCTTAATTCCTAAATTGAGTCTAAGAGCTGGCAACTCTCGATCACGTGACAAAACTTGTCGTCAGCTGATTGAGCCTTAAACCTGACTTCAAGGAATTAAGACTCGATTCGAAGCTTTTAAATCGGGAGCTTTGATGAATATTAGACATACAATAACCTTCAGTTTTATCGAATGAGTCCGAGAGAGATGGAAATTTATCTAGCTCTCTAAGTGCAACGTCAAGTCCAACCTATAGAAAAAACGGAATTTTTTATTTTTATTCAAATATATTTGTACAAGATCCATTATTAAAATGATCTTTAAAGGATTTAAAACAAATTTAAAAAAGAGAAAATTTGGTAGCAATGGTCGAAATTTAAAGGATTTATAACAAATTTAAAAAAAGAGAAAATGTAGGTAACAAAAGTCAACATTTAAAGGATTTACAACAAATTTACAAAAAGAGAAAATGTAGGTAGCAAAAGTAAAAATTTAAAGGATTTACAACAAATTTAAAAAAGAGAAAATTATGTAGCAAAAGTCAACATTTAAAGGATTTACAACAAATTTACAAAAAGAGAAAATTAGGATTCAAGTCAAAATTTAAAGGTTTTCTAACAATGAAATTTAAAAAAGAGAAAATTAGGTAGCAATAGTCAACATTTTAAGGATTTACAACAAATTTAAAAAAGAGAAAACTAGGTAGCAAAAGTCAAAATTTAAAGGATTTACAACAAATTTTAAAACAGAGAAATTAGGTAACAATAGTCAAAATTTAAAGAATTTACAACAAATTTAAAAAAGAGAAAATTAGGTAGTAATGGACAATGCCCCACATTGTCCCGGAAGGAGACTTATAAAAAAAGTCTGTAAAGTTACCAAAAATGTATTTTTCAAAAAAAACCCCCCCCCCCCTCTAAAACATTAAATGAAAAGTCTTATAAGTACCTTGTCTTCCTTCTTAACCAGAGGCTTCTGCCTGACCTCCATCAAGCACTCTAATACTGCTTGGTGTCTTGGAGACTAAATAAAAACAATGCTTTGACATGACTTAAATCAAGATTTTGGCTTAAGGGGGTGCACTGCACTTTAGTTAAAAAAGTCCAAATTAAATAAAGTTTCAATTGTTAAATTAAATTGTAAAACCGTCAAAAACGCTTTTCTTCGAAGAAAATGTTCAAATAAAATCTAATGAAAACATTAAAAATGATATTTATCTAATTGCAATAAATATCAAGGATTTTAAGTTATAACCTGGAGGATTACAAGAATAATAAACTACTAGTTGAAAAGCCCAGCGTTGCCCGTGGAATTTGGAAGAAAAAAATACGACATTTAAAAAAATAAAATTTAAAGGTTAAGAAAAATTTCAGCCAATTTTGTCAAACCGTTTAGCCAGCTATAGCTCAGCTAACATAAATAAGACCACTAGGGTTGAGTAGTTTCACCTTCTTAGATTAGTAGCTTGCGGATTATTTCTTCGGAAACAATAAGAAAATGGTCAAAATAAAGGGAATGTGAGTTTAATTTCAAGTGACCCTCCATGCAAAAATGTGATGGAGACAAATATTTAAAATTTCAATCATTCATAAACCTTCCCTGGGGTAACATGAGATCCCACAAAAAATTTGGGCCCGATCGGTTCATCCGTTTTGACGTTTATTGGATACAAACAAACAGACAAACAAACAGACAGACAAACAGACAGACAAGCCAAATTTATATATAGATTATATAATTATGAGCGAAGAGCTTTATTATATATATTATGAACCTGGTCACTGTGTGCTAAAACAAATCTTTCAAGCTCTGTCCACATTACTCTATACTGCTCCTCTTTTTTCCCTCCTTTCTTTCCTTAACAAAGAAACTTGTATTAAGGATATCTCAGTCATTCCTACATTTGCTTTGCTTTGACTTTGTATAACTTTATCATAACATCTAAGGTTTGTTAATAAATGTTGAAGTAATTATACAATAAAAACGTCCCAAGGGGTCCCTTACTAACAAATAATTACCAATGTTATAAGTTATCACCACATCAGATATCGAGATCATGAATATAAAATTAACAAAACTCCACACAAAATCCCTGCTTGAAAGTAGGTTTGCCCACTGGCTGGGGTTTAAGAAGGCCCTTATTGTTAAAAGGGGTCTGAAGTCTCTTTATGACTAAGAGGTCCATAAGTCCCAAATCGTTTTACTCAGGGATCCAGAAAATCGTTTTGCAAGTAGAGGTCCTAACTATTAGTCAAGGGGGTCCAGGAAGTCCTTAAGTCACTACCTGAGTCTAAAACTAAAGAATGCGCGAATTTTAAGTTCGAGGTTAAAAGTTCTGTAAAATAATGAATAGCTATTTAAATATTAAACTTTCTCTCTGGAAGAACGGTCTGCCCGAGGGGTCCAGGAAGTCCTTTAGTCACTACCTGGAAGAACAGTCTGCTCAAGGGGTCCAGGAAGTCCCTTAGTCACTACCTGGAAGAACGGTCTGCCCAAGGGGTCCAGGAAGTCCTTAAGTCACTACCTGGAAGAACGGTCTGCCCAAGGGGTCCAGGAAGTCCTTTAGTCACTACCTAGAAGAACGGTCTGCCTAAGGGGTCCAGGAAGTCCCTTAGTCACTACCTGGAAGAACGGTCTGCCCAAGGGGTCCTGGAAGTCCTTTAGCCCCTACCTGAAAGAACGGTCTGCCCAAGGGGTCCAGGAAGTCCTTTAGTCCCTACCTGAAAGAACGGTCTGCCCAAGGGGTCCTGGAAGTCCCTTTGTCACTACCTGGAAGAACGGTCTGCCCAAGGGGTCCAGGAAGTCCCTTAGTCACTACCTGGAAGAACGGTCTGCCCGAGGGGTCCTGGAAGTCCTTTAGTCACTACCTGGAAGAACGGTCTGCCCAAGGGGTCCAAGAAGTCCTTTAGTCCCTACCTGAAAGAACGGTCTGGCCAAGGGGTCCAGGAAGTCCTTTAGTCACTACCTGGAAGAACAATCTGCCCAAAGGGTCCTGGAAGTCCTTCTCCCCTGTTCTCCATGGAGATTATTGCAAAGATAACGTCCCTACACTCCGCTAAGTCGTCTTCCAACATATTTTCCTAAGAATATTTTCTTATTTTTCAGGGATAATTAAGAACTACCACCCCAACCCCTCCAAGATTATCGCAGATTTTTGGGGCACACTGTTAATGCACCCCTACCGGCTACCCTCACCCCAAACTTTAGTAATTGATATAAATAAGAAAATATTTAAGTATTTGATGGTACTCTACCTTTAGAAGAGCCGCGTACAAAGGTTTAAACACTAACATGCTGAATAGAGTGGAGGAAGAGATGGTGAGAGGTAGAACCTTAGTAAATCTTATCATACAAATATTTACTCCAATAATAATAAAATGATAAAAAATAAAAAATAAGGGAAAGATATTCAAAATGGTGAAGCAGTAACTTTAATTGACATTGACATCTCTGATAAACAAAGGCACCTTAAAGAATGACCATTGATATGAGATTTACATTTATTTAATTTAAAAAAATGATAACAATGAATCATATTTTTTTAAAGTAGCTTGCGGATTATTTCTTCGGAAACAATAAGAAAATGGTCAAAATAAAGGGAATGTGAGTTTAATTTCAAGTGACCCTCCATGCAAAAATGGCGATGCCCGATTTATAACAGTACACTTGATACCGTCGATTTTCTGGCTCGATAATTTCTCCATTGCTTCTTATAAGCAAGAAATGCGCAAGTCGCTTTCCGCCATGTAAATGAAAATCAACAGTTTAAGGAAACTAAAACATGGAAATCTAATTCATATTTGAAAATAGAGCATTGTCATCTTGGCATGGAGGCTAACTTGAACTTATTCACTTTAATGTCCAGGCAATAGTTTACACTACATGGACAGTCTCTGCAAGATGAATGTTAAATTACTTATATTTAAAAAAATTATTTTTAAATATTTATTTTCCTAGATAGACGTTTGTGTGATCGCAGTAAAGGACTGTTATCTTCGGGGTTACCGGAGCAGGGAGCGAGCTGATTACATTTTATCAAATCAGCCAAATCATTAATTCTAAAATGTACAAGCTGATTACATTTTATCAAATCAGCCAATTCACGAGTCTTAAAATGTACAAGCTGATTACATTTATCTAATCAGCCAATTCACGAATTCTAAAATGTACAAGCTGATTATGTTTATCAAATCAGCCAATTCACAAATCCTAAAATTTACAAGCTGATTACATTTTATCAAATCAGCCAATTCACGAATCCTAAAATTTACAAGCTGATTACATTTTATCAAATCAGCCAATTCACGAATCCTAAAATTAACAAGCTGATTACATTTTATCAAATCAGCCAATTCACGAATCCTAAAATTTACAAGCTGATTACATTTTATCAAATCAGCCAATTCACGAATCCTAAAATGTACAAGCTGATTACATTTTATCAAATCAGCCAATTCATGAATCCTAAAATGTACAAGCTGATAACATTTTATCAAATCAGCCAATTATGAATCCTAAAATGTACAAGCTGATTACATTTTAGCTAATCAGCCAATTAAATAATCCTAAAATGAAAAAGCTGATTACATTTTATCAAATCAGTCAATTCACGAATTCTAAAATGAACAAGCTGATTACATTTATCTTATCAGTTAATTCACGAATTCTAAAATGAACAAGCTGATTACATTTATCTTATCAGTTAATTCACGAATCCTAAAATGTACAAGCTGATTACATTTTAAAAACAGCCAATTCAAGAATCTTAAAATGTACAAGCTGATTACATTTTATCAAATCAGCCAATTCACGAATTCTAAAATGAACAAGCTGATTACATTTATCTTATCAGTTAATTCACGAATCCTAAAATGTACAAGCTGATAACATTTTAAAAACAGCCAAATCAAGAATCTTAAAATGTACAAGCTGATTACATTTTATCAAATCAGCTAATTAACGAATCCTGAACCAATCTGAAAATTAATCTGGTTCGAAGAAGAAACCATAATTTCTTGGAAATCAGGTTTAATTGTCAACTAAAAAAAACTTAAGATAGTTTGATGTACAAAATGACCTGAAAGAAAATAATGAAAATACCTATAATCAGTAACCCGTCCTCCAGGCCCTTCACTTATAGACGGAGGCTCTTCAAGCTCGGACCTGAATCAAATAAAAGTCCATCAAAGGGACTACAGGCGTGCTTCCAAGTAACATTCATTTGTAGAGTGGCGTGTTTGATTCACAACAGTACAATTTAAGCCTTTGATTTATTAAGTATGTCGAACTTATCTGACTGCCTTAAAAAGTCTTATTGACGTTATTTATTTTATTTCTCTTCAAAAAGACTTTTTCAGGCGGTTCCTAGTCAGACAGGCAGTTGACTTAGGGCCATAATGTTTTGCTACAACATTTCTTATAACTGTTGAAGAATCACAAATTCCTTAAAGGTCTTTAATGCCTGTAATTGGGGGGTCGTTAATGACCAATTTTGCTCTAAAATTCCGTTTTAACCTTTAAACGTAGTCCTAATATTCTGAAGTGTGCTCGGTCTCTTTGCCAAAGATTTTCAAATCTTAAAAAATAGAATGGAATAAATTACGAGTTTCTAATTCAAGAATTGTGGATTTTTTAAAAGAAATGACATTTCGAGTAGGTTAAAACAGCATTTTGAAGGATATTGTTTTATGGATGACCCCAACATTTATGAATAATGTAAATTCATGTAAATGTACAACGTATCTGCTAGTAACACTTTCTAGAAGGTTACAACGTTGTTTAGTGGGTGAAAAAGCAATCAAAAATCTTCGGAAAAGGGAACGAGTACATTTTCGAATATAAAGACGACCCCCCTCCTTCTCCTTTTTATTGGCATTGTACCTACTAGACGTACTCTTAAGTAATACAATTTTTGATTAGAAAAAAACGACATTTAGTTGGTAAAAAACCTTAAACACACTTGTTTCAGAGAAACCCTAGACAGTTTTCAATTCTTTTCTTGAAATGTTCTGAAGTCTTATTAATAGATGAAATATTGATCAGTTGACCACGCACCTCTGCCCCTTTAGTAAAAGTAGATTCAACCTATATGAAGCAAAAAGTCTGACCGCGTCAACCTTGTTGCACAGGCTAGTCCTGTCCATTGAGCTAGGCACAGTACAAACTGGGACCGGAAAGGTTGACCCGGCTCGGAAATTCGAATGTACTACGGTTGCCCGGTTGACGGGACTGTACGTGTTAGCTTAAACTTAAGTGACCCCTGTACCCCTTATCCGATCAATAATGTGGAAGATATTGTCGTTCTTCTAGGTTTATAATATTTCATTCTGTAATTTTTTTTTCAAAAACTTTTGTGGGGAATCTACAATTGAAAATAATTAGTTTTCAAAATGAATAACATTGATATCTAATTCATCCTTGATCAGACAATAAAGGGCACTGTTGTGAAAAGGGCATTGTCATCTTTGCATGAAGAGTTATTTAAAACTACACTTAAAGTCTCTAACAATAAAATACCTGTTAGAACTAAGTGTGTGAATAAATATCTCTCCCCCATGAGAAGTCAACATATGAGATATTGTTTTAACGCCAGTACTCCTCCTCTGTAAAAGTAAAATTCAGGGGTGTAAATTTCCTTGAAAGCATGGGGGGGAAGGTTTCTTCCACAATATGTATATCCTGACGTTAAATAATGTACCTGCATCTCGAGCATAACACTTCTACCAGAGAGAAGGAAATTTGTAAGACAAGAAGACTGTCTACTGTTCACTTCCGTTGGAGTTATTCTGAACATTTAATTCATTTTTATCATCATTATAGTTAATACTATTTTTTAATCTCTCCTGCACTGCACTACTCTGCACTGCTCTGCTCTCCTGTTCTCTCCTGTACTATACTGTACTGTACTGTACTGTACTGTACTGTACTGTACTGTACTGTACTGTACTGTACTGTACTGTACTGTACTGTGCTGTATTGTACTGTGCTGTGCTGTACTGTGATGTGCTGTACTGTTGTTTGCTGTGCTGCGCTATGTTGTATTATGTTGTGCTGTGCTGTGCTATGCTCTCCTGTGCTGTGCTGTCCTGTGCTATGTTATACTGTGCTGTGCTGTACTGTGCTGCGCTCTGCTGTGTTGTACTGTACTTTGTACTGTAATTTTTTAGAGGCAATGTCTATAGTTGTGAAATATGTACTGTACCTAAGAGCTTTACTGTACTGTACCTGAAAGTACCCGAGCAGTGTTGAAGTTCATTAGCTGAGCTTCCTCTAGGTGTACACCACTTGAGCTTACAGGTCTGATATTCACTTCCCTCACTTTAAACATACAGTTTAACCCAGAACTTTGAAGATACCGAAAGACAATATAAAATGTCGTCTTCTAAGTCTACTGATAATACAGGGTGTCCCAAAAAACATGGGAATTCAGTGACGAATTGGATATCGTCTTTGTTATGAATTAGCATTGTAATACCTAATTTCAAAAGCCGTAATATTATTATGCCTGCTAGAGTTTATTTTATGAAAAAGGTAAAAGCTCAGAATATATATACTATAGAATAACAGGTGGCACCTGTATTGGTATGACATTGTAAACATATATTGGTATGTTATTGTGTACATGTAGTACACTGTTCTTGGGGGGATTTGTTTTGATCAGTTACATGATTTCTCAGTAAAAACAAGCATGAGGATTGTTCAGTGTTAAATTGTTACACGGATCAAACATATAAGATAAGATTTCATTCTTTTCCTAAAGATGAAAAGTTTTAAAAGCGTGGAGTAACTTTACAGGAAAGCCAGGTTCTGGACTCCGGGAAAATTTAGTGTTGTCTGTGCAAAACATGTTGAAAACAAATACGTTTCTGGACGAAAGTTAAGTTATAACGCTTTTCCCAGTCTCCATCTTCCCCACCATCCACATCAACAGGAACAGCTAGATAATGGAGAGGGTGAGTCTTGACTCATTTACAGGGGCGGATACTGGATTTGGTTAATATTGTTCTAATGAATAATTTAATATAAATGTAATTTCATTCAACCCTATGAAGGCTGGCAGCTTTAAATTCATTAAGGGTCGGGCGACCCGCCCCCCCCCTTAAAAAGGCCTGAAATATGTTAAAAATAACATTTTGTTGTTGTTGACAAATTAAAACATGCGACAACTGATTTTTTATTTACTTTTCCGAAATGTAACTTTTATATACAGTGATAACCAGAAAACAATGAAAAAGGAAGACGATATTATATCAGTACTTAATTGTATTTGATCGCGTTACAAAGCAAATAGTTTTACCAGACAATTCAAAAATGACTTTTTTTGTGAAATGGGTCTTTTTACACTGCACAAATGCTGTGTTTCATGGTTAATGATTTTTTTAAAGTTAAACTTGATCCTCAAAATCTTCTTACTATTCCTGAGTTTTCTGGTTATCACTGTATGNAAACATGCTGATCGTATAGGGGTATCTAAACATGCTGATCGTATAGGGGTATCTAAACATGCTGATCGTATAGGGGTATCTAAACATGCTGATCGTATAGGGGTATCTAAACATGCTGATCGTATAGGGGTATCTAAACATGCTGATCGTATAGGGGTATCTAAACATGCTGATCGTATAGGGGTATCAAAACATGCGTCTTGAACCGTTAAATACTATTCATATGTCTGTTTTTCTATATTCATTAATTTGTGTTATTAATTTAGGGCTAAAAAATCGATTTTTTGATACTCTGACAAATATCTTTGCAAGAGGGAGGAGGGATATTTACCAATTTAACGTTTCTAAACTCATTTGTATCAATATTTTAATATCCATCTTAAGTTATTTTGACGAATTATTTTTCTAGTTTGTAATAGTGTTTAGAAAAAAAATCTAAATGATTTTAAAAATAATAATAAAAAAATGACACTTTTGAATTTTTAAATTTTATTTTAAAAGTGGCAAAATTTTCCACCCTTACTCTAGCTTACAATAATCAAAATATATATTTTTCAGAAATTAATCGAAATCCAAATTTTCATACAGTTTGACTCAGAAGTTTGGAGACATCGAAAGAATTTATAAAATGTTGTTTTCGAAACCTATACTAATAATCGATTGCTGCAGATATTTAGTTTTTTATTTGAATAATTATATGGAGCTCTTTAAAACTGTTCCCGCATATTTCATAGACTAAACATACTTGATATACATTGCTTAAACTTTTGAGGAGTCAACACCATGAATCAGAGGAAATTTTCCCTCACTGAAACTAATGAGCTATTTCTAAAATTGAACCCTTGATGAGAATATGCCTCAAAGGGAGCAATTTCAAGTGACCCTCCATGCAGAGGGGACAATGTCCGATTTACAACAGTACCCTTGAAACCTTAATCTGATCAAGTATGAACTATATATCAATAATTTTGTTGCCTTAAACTGTTTATTTTCATTTATATATTTTTCGTCGAGTGCATATTAGATGTGTGTTTAAACTGCAAAACCTGCTCATGTTCAGCTGAAAATTCAAGTGTGCGCTGTGTTTAGTTGAGTAGCGCATACTTGAATTAACCGCTGACTACAAGCAGGTTCCGAGACAAATACACACAATTATCTTGCATACAGACCCTTAAAAATAAAAAGTAATGCCCTAAACTGAACTGACCTGGCTGCCATGATCATGTCAGCAAAGTCTCCCAGTAATCTTCTATGAGAAGCTGCTTCGTGGAAAAGTTCAACATCATAGTTAGCAGAACTAGAGGCATTCTGCTCTTCCTACAATTAATTTATTTTGAGAAGTCCTTATCTCTCTTCAGCTGATAAATCACTCGATCCTTCAGCACTCCCTCTAAGTTCTGAGATGTAAGTCTTAAGGCGATGTAGCCTGTTTGGACCACTCACTTCATAGTAATATTGAACCCAGGTCAGGCCGCACAGACGAACTGATCCACCTGCGACCTACACTGTCACCTTAATCCACTCTCACACCTGAGTTTGGGTCCCCGAGTACAAAACTCACCAAATAAAAGACACAAAGGTAATAAATGAAGATGTTGTGACCATGCATATGTTCAATACCTTCATAGGAATACCAGTGACAGTTGTAGAGGCCAAATCATAGTGCTTCAAGCATAGGTAGAGTAGCTTCATTGATAATCCCGGACCTATTGAAAGAAAAACAGTCAAATTTCAATTATTTTATGTCCTCCTATCCTAATTTGATGCCACTTAAGAAATGCATAGACAAAATCTACCAGAAAACAAGAGTCAAGTAAAAAAACACACAAATACTACATTTTCTTTTAGGCCCTTGACTTTGAATTTTAAACAATAATTAATCCAGAACTCCAAGGAAAGTAAACTTATTGGTTAAAACTTAAATAACAAATAATTAATTTTTTCTTAAATAACTTCCTAATAAACTAACCTGCCAAAACACTGTAGAAAAGTGTGGAGAGAAAAGGAGATATGTTTTCCACATTATCCTGCTCAGTTCGAAGCCTAATTAGAATTAAGTAACATTATTGAATTTTAAAGAGAATTGTTATTCCACATTTTAAATCGTTGAGTAAAATATTTTTAATGTTTAACGGAAACTCTGCTTCCAAACAATCATTTGAATTCTTTCCTAAAATACTTGGATTCGAGGGCCAGCATGACATGTGCATTGTGCAATGAAAACTGTTTTGCCTGCACAATGCACATGCTCTATATTCTACATGGTAAATGATCAGTTATCTATAGTTCAATACCAGCAGTTGTGCACGAACAGGGTTCATCTTGTTTATTATCCATAACCTGTCATAGGTAAATACAAGTACCATGAACAATGATGGCGTTTTAGAGATGAACATAGAGATACAGTTGTAATCATTTACCTGTACTCTATACCAGTCGGTGTTGTATGGACAAGAACAAGCTCAACATGGTTTAAAGCCAAACCTTCGCCATCACAACCTGGACAAAGTTTAAATTAAGTCTGGTATGTATTCTTTTTGAGTTTCAGTTCTTCCTTAAAGGGACTGTAAGTGTAATTTCAAGTCCCCATCCATGTATAGATGGCAATGCCAGATTTAAAATGGGTGAAAGCTTTCTGATCAAGTATGAATTAGATATTGTTTTTGTGCGTTTATTTTCATTTGCGATTTCTCTGCAAAAGAGACATGCGCATTTCTTGTTTATAAGAAGCAATGGAGAAACTCACAGAAAAAAACACTTTACAAATCAGAAAAACGGCAGTATCTTCCACATTGTTAATGAGGTTAAGGATTTAAGGATATCGTTGTAAATTGGGGATTGCCATCTTTGCATGGAGGGTCACTTGAAATTATGCTCATTGTCCTTTTAAATGAAGTCAGAGAAAGCAGATAAATCAAAGCTTTCTAGTGCAGCAATGGATTTGTTTAAATGTTTAACTTGTATGGTAAATATGTGCACTGACAACTGCGTACCTGAGTTTTCCTGGTTGATTTTCATTATCTTCTCCTGGGCAGCACTCAGTAGGTTTCTACGGTAGACATCATCAACCACTGTTGTGATGACAATCAATCTTCCACGGTTGATAACCTTTAGAGATAAAAATATATGAAATCGACGATTTAACAGTAATTGATTCAAAATAATGCCCTTGGAAGCGATCTCTGTTCGTTGGTTTGGATCCAATAAATGTCTAATTGGAGGGCGGATCAGAATTAATAACTTTTAACTTATTTACTGAAAAACTTTCGCACACAAATGTTTTTGTTTTGATATGTAGGAGAGAAAACATCAACATTAATAAAAAGCTAAAATTATTACTAGGTTTACATTAAATCAGGGGAGGCATTAAAGCTGAAACTTAACATTTTAGTCGTAACTATTCGTTATTTAGTTTCGGACTCTGAAGTCACAATTATAAACAAACAAATCTGGTAGACTGCTCAAATTAAAGATAACTGCATTAAAAATCCCTGAAGAAAAGTCCCAAGTTTTACCTGGCTATTATTCTCCAGGAGCTCAGTCTGTCTCGGTGTTGGCTCACAGAGAGACTCCAGAGCAAGCTCAATACCATCCACAATATATCGGGCCACATTACCTTAAGTTATTGCGACTAAAAAATTTTGCAGGCGAAGAAAAAAATGCTTTCAATAAAAACTTGATTCATCTTATATATATACTTTGCATGTCTGAGTGTTTGTTTGTTTGTATCCAATAAACGTCAAAACGCCAGAACCGATTGGCCCAAATTTTGTGTGGGACTTCACATGTCCCCAAGGCAGGTTTATGGATGATCAAAATTTCAAAACATAGCTCCATCTTAATTTGATTTTCATTGACTTTTGAAAGTTAACAACATTTTTTATATAAAATCCGTAATTTTTTTGTTTTGTTTTACAATGTATACTACTATACAAAGAGAAAATGTTCACAATTGAAATAATAGATGGAGGTGAAGCGCTTGAAAGCATAGTCTATCTATATACTTTGCTTGTCTGTTTGGGTGTTGTTTGTTTGTATCCCATAAACGTCAAAACGGCTGAACCAATTGGGTCTAAGTTTTGTGTGGGACTTCACATATACCCAGGGAAAGTTTCGATGATCAAAATTTCAAAAATTTACCTCCAACAAAATTCGATTTGCATTAAATAAAAAAAACACGATTTTTTTTAAATCCGCGAACTTTTTTGTTTTTCTTTTACACTGTATACAAAGAGAAAATGTTCACAATTAAAATAGAAGATGGGCGTGAAGCGCCCTAAAAGCCTAGTAATATAATAAACCTGTATATTTTCTATCTGACGGTCTACCAACTCCAGCTAGAGCTGTCATAATACTGTTACAATTCTGGTGTTCATCCTGATTCAAAACATTCTTTTTAGTTAAGGAGTTTTACCTAGGACTAAGGACACCGTGTCCATCTCTCTTAATTCTGTATCAAAAGTTCAGGGGAGTATATTTTTTCTCTGAAAACTCAAGAAAAAGGGAGTAAAAAAAAAAAATTCTGGACAACAATGACCTGGGGGGGGGGGAATAATTTAACTTCTTGTAAGAATATACTCCCCTGCAAAAGTTTGGAAAGAATAATACCTGCCAACCATTCAAGATTTCAGGGTTATGTCTAGCAACCACAAATCTAATATTCTTGTCCTGAATGAATTGAATTGTTTGTACAAAATATTAAAAAAAAACAAAGTTAACCTTGGTTGACATATGACGTAATAAATATAAAAATTGGTAACATCCATTAAAGTCCCAATCAAAAGAGTATGTGGGAAAAAGTTCTAATTTTTAATACCAAAATAGTCATGAGGAAAAAAGTCATAGAATTATGAAGGACTTTTAAGAAATGACTTTTTTATTTGTGTCTAAGAAAGTTTCCCCAGTTTGATCAGGTTTATGTTGAACAGTATACACTGTACATTGCTTCTTTTTATGATTTTTTTTCTTGTGACCTCAATCTCAGATTCAGTAAAATATCCGGAAGAAAAATCCTTGATAAAAAAGAATGACTTATTTACCAATGACCCTTTTTCTATAGACTGATTTCCCTGGACTTAATTTTCAAATACTTTTTTTTCCAATGACTTTTTTTTTGATGGATTTGTATACAATTACCCTAGTATGTTGGTTAGAGAAAGCGTTAAACTACTCTATTATCAAATTCATAGGGGCTCTGGGATATCTTCTTTCAAATTTATAGGGGTTCAGGGGCATCTTCTTTTATAATTATTCAGGGCCCACGGGTGCAAAATTGATGTGTCAAATGATATTAAAAATAATATTAAATTTTAGAGTGGCTAGATTTTCTCCTTTGATTCTTTTTATCTCCCCTCTTACTTGAAATAAATCCTTTTCCCTATTTCAGCGATACAAATTCTACAATATGATTCATTTCAACCTACAATTTGCATATGTACTTGTTGTATTCTATTGAACATATGTTGCATGTTTACAATATATCTCAGTATCTTTGAGTACATATGTAAATGTTACTAATGCAGCCCAAGATATCCTTCAGTACAAATGTTGTATGTTACCATTTTGCCAATATCCACGAGTATCCTACGTACATATTTACATGTTTAAAAATATCCCAATGTTTACTTTAGTATATGTACATGATACCAATTTATACCGGTGTATCCTGTAGTACGCCTTTACATGTTAACCTGTAAAAATATATCTCAGCGTATACTTTAGTACATATGTACATGCTACCAATAAATCCCAGCGTATCCTGCAGTACGCCGCGCCTGTACATGTTAACCTGTGGAAATATATCCCAGTGTATACTTCAGTACATATGTAAAGTTCATGATACCAATATATCCCTGTGTATCCTTATGTACGCCTTAAGTTTTAATTATGACATCAGTGATACAACAACATAAATACACCAATTAAACCGATCAAATTAAAGCCTGTACAGTGTACATGTAAACCTATGGAAATATGTCCAGTGTATACTTTCGTACATATGTACATGCTACCAATATATCCCAGTGTATCCTAAAGTACGTCTGTACATGTTATCAATACATCCCAGTGAATCCTATAGTATATGTGTACATGTATCCTACGTACAAATTTGCATGTTTGAGTATATCCCAGTGTGTACTACAATTCATATGTACATGATACCAATGTATCCCAGTGTAACCAACAGTACGCCTGTACATGAAAACCTGTGGAAATATGTCCCAGACTATTCTGCAGTATTCCAACGTTGCCTCAACTACACAGGTCCAGACAGTTTTAGAAACAGGGGCCAGGGGAATATATCCAGGACCTAGATATTAAAGTAAGTGTACAGTAACAGTACAGTACATAAAATATTTTAAATAACATCCACTGTCAAGAATGGCAAGTTTCAATACCTTGATCTTTTTGATATTTCTAACCACAGAATGCATGTGCTTTCCTCTTATTGAAGTTAAAATCACAAAATTTTCTCAAATTCGGAGATAAAAACATATCCAAACATAGTGTTGAAAATTTCCAAAATAATTAAATAATCCTCCCCCCATGATATCGAGTAAGTTTGTATGGTGTGCAGTGTGCACACATCAAACTCAACAGAATGACACGGCTGTACAAATTGTACATTTGATTACCTCTGGCCCATGGTACATTAAATTTAACAGAATGACACGACTGTACAAATTGTACATTTGATTACCTCTGGCCCGCTGTACATCAAACTCAACAGAATGACACGACTGTACAAATTGTACATTTGATTACCTCTGGCCCGCTGTACATCAAATTCAACAGAATGACACGACTGTACAAATTGTACATTTGATTACCTCTGGCCCGCTGTACATTAAATTCAACAGAATGACACGGCTGTACAAATTGTACATTTAATTACCTCTGGCCCGCTGTACATCAAATTCAACAGAATGACACGGCTGTGCAAATTGTACATTTGATTACCTCTGGCCCGCTGTACACCAAATTCAACAGAATGCCACGACTGTACAAATTGTACATTTAATTACCTCTGGCCCGCTGTACATTAAATTCAATAGAATGACACGGCTGTACAAATTGTACATTTAATTACCTCTGGCCCGCTGTACATCAAATTCAACAGAATGACACGGCTGTGCAAACTGTGGCCCATGGTCGAGAACTATCACTGTCTTGTGACTACAGGGAAACTTCATTTTCTAAACAAGAATAAATAATCAAATAATGTCTCATCTTTTTAAAACAAAATATGGTGTGCCTGATGTGCCTAATTTGTGTTTCTAACATTAGTCCAGTAAGTATTTACACAGGGGTGTATATTTTAAAAATTAACCCCCCCCCCTCTTGGCACAGTATGGTACGTTTAAGGGGGCTTTGGAATAAGGCTTATTCTGATCAAAAAGGAATAGTTAAGTTTTAAAATGTTAATCAAATAATATTTTTTTAACGTTTTTTTAAAATAAATTGTTGAAAATCATTTAATAAATCGGTATTTTAGAACAGACTTTTTTTTATCAGGAAGAAGAGTCATGTTTAACAAAATAAATTATGTTAAAATGCCAAGATCTAAAAACGTGTCGATTTATGGACGTATTTCAGTGAATTTGCCCTTTCAGATGTAACATTTTAAGGAATGTGACACAATAATGACAAAGATTTAAAAACAAAAAATGTCAGAGAAATTTTAAATTGTATAAAAAAGAAATGATAATTCGCATAAAAACAAAGATTTTTTGTCATTTTGCCGTGAAATGCGGAAAATGCACTTTTTTTGCAATGAAGTCAGACCAGTAATTTCCACTTTGACCACACTATGCCAGGGGGAAGGGGGGGGGGTTAATAAATTTTGAAGATCTGGGGGGTATTATTATCCTTATTATTATTATTTAAGGACACCCAATCATTCAATGAAATAGGGGTCGGCGCTCCTAGCCGCCGAAACGTATCCATGGGCTGACAGAACTGGTCACCCTAGGAAGAAATTTGAACGTGAAAAGGCAAGTTTTATTCTTTTTCATGCCCAAAAAAATGTGTTTATTTTCCCAATTCAGCGAATAAAACCCTAAAATAAGTACACACATAATTTCTGGAGGGAAAAAAATGATTTTCAAAAAGGGGGGGGGATTATTTACCAGGAAAATATACACCTCTGTATTTACGTTAGGTAACATTTCATAATTAAGTGTTTTTTTTAGCACAAAGCCTAAAATCATTTTTAACAAGGATACTAAAAAAACAAACTAGAAATTCGCAAAAACCTACCTTTAAAAATATCTCTTATCCAGTCCTGAACTTCAGACAATCCTTCCTAAATGATTAAATAGTTTGGAAAACAAAAAAAACCCTATCAAGAAAAAATTGTAAATAAGATTAAGGTCTGATTGAAAAAATCTGAAAATTTATTATAAATATGGACAAATTGTCAATTGATAAAAAATAAAATAAGTAAGTTGATTATATTAGGCCTAGGGTCCAGGCCGCCGGGGGGCATGTCTAATGGAAACATAGGGTTCAANGTCCTTTGATAGATTGATAGATTCATTTATGCAAATATCTTCTCCAAAATAGCCATAACATACAGCTATTATTGTACCAGGGTTAAAAATAGCCATAACATACAGCTATTAATGTACCAGGGTTAAAAATAGCCAAAACATACAGCTATTAATGTACCAGGGTTAAAAATAGCCATAACATACAGCTATTAATGTACCAGGGTTAAAAATAGCCATAACATACAGCTATTAATGTACCAGGTTTAAAAAAAATTTTTTTTAGTGTAAGAACAACGAATGGTTGGAATTAACAGTTTTGAAATTTGTAAAACTTCTCAAAATTTTGTTTAAACTATTAAAGCCTATTATTAAAACCTAATAAAAGACTCAAAAAAGAACGAAATCAAATTCCCAACCCTACTCTCGAGGTAGAGTAGTATTCTTACCCAGGTTTTTGAGCTGTATCGTAATATTTTGACTTTCACATACGTTTTTGATATAAACTCATTCAGCCTTCATTTAACAGATACTTAAACATAACCTTAAACTTCGGATACAGTGATAACCAGAAACTAGAGAATAGGAAGACGACATTAAAGCAATACTGAAGTGCATTTGAAGCTGTTACAAGGCAAATAGCTTTACTAGTTTATTATTAAATCACTAATTAAGTGAAATGGATCTATGTAAAAAGCACACTTGCTGTGCCTCATGTACGTTGGACTATTTAAAGTCATAACTTGAGTCTAAAAGTCGACTTCCTATTCCAGAATTTTCTGGTTATCACTGTATGTTTTGTGGAGCCATCTTCTACTTGTCTGGGTGGAGTCTCAAAGAAAACTATGCAATGAATGTAGAAAGTAGAAATGAATGTACGCGCACGTATACAGATATCGAGGGGGGGGGGGAGGTTGAACGATTTTTCAAAAAAATATATAACCCTAGCTAGCTTCTAGTCACGAAAACGGGCTTATTTCCTCGGTTTTGTTTTATTGTTATATAAATAATTAACAATTGTATCAACAAAAGTATCCGATATTCCTTGTATTATGAATGATAACATCCACCTGCTCGGCTCCTCGGTCTACCTTACTAAACCAACATTTCTTAGCAATTTATCAAAAATATAAGTGATTAACAATTTCGTAACTATTTATAAAAAAAGCATTTATCTATGACTGGCAATTCAGGGAGAATGGGGGGGGGGGGTA